ACGGCAAGAGATTCTTCGTCGCCCGCCGCACGGGCATGGAGCTGACAGTTTCCTGGTGCTGTCATTTCGCATCTGTCTGGGGCCGCGCGGGTGACGAAGGCCCAAGCTCGCGGCTTCGCCAGCGATCGGTGACCTGTCACGGAACAGATTTAGGTATTCCGTATAAGCGCCCGAGCGTTGAAACTCGCTCTGTATACGTACACTGTGACCAAAACAAGCCAAGCAGTGACGCCGAATGCGTATTTGCATCTGCAGTCGATGTCTTGACGATGAGGGCCCCGTCGGCGACGCGGCAGCCAGGGGCACACGCCGAGAGACGCTTCTGAGCCGTGGTGAAGGCACGGAATCTATCATACGTACCTAGGTAGTAGCGCTCGTGCATGAACACGAGACAGTCAGGCGTGTGGCGGCGATGCCGGCATGGGCATGAGAGGGCGTTGCTGGCGTGGATGCAACGATTGCTTGGGGACAGCTTGACAGTTACCTGTCGGAGGCAGTCGCGGCGCCGGGCCACCGCGCTTCTGCAAGCTGGTAGGGACAGCTCGCCCGGTGTCACTTGCCGGCTTGGCGAGGGTATCTAAATTGTCCCTGTGGCGGGTAGGTATTATGTACTGCCCTCGGTAGTGGCGACCGTGGCTTGGTGATCAGCCAGGTGAAGACACGGAGTCTAAGTACCCGGGGGCTACCCGCTCGTGGGAGGTGAGGCGAGGTCACGCAGTCATTGGTGATGAATTGGGAAGGCCCATTTCGCTGGCACTGAGATGCGTCGCACTTGCCTCGGTCTGCCTTGCACGGCACTTCGTATGGAGCAGCCGCCTCGCCGAGGCCTGCTCCTTCCTCACGCGGGAAGCCGCGGACGACGCGGCCACTGACTGGCGGAATGCAGGCGACGGGTGTACTTCGTACTCCGTGGGAAGCTGGCCAGCAAGGTTCCTCGCCCTGCTACGACCCTGCCGCACCGTACGGAGTATGCGAGGAAGGAGCATCCTACGACTACGAGCTCATGGTGAGGCATCCTAGGTTACCTCAAGTACGTCCATCGCTGGTGAATGCCATTACAGTACTAGAGGTCCTCATCTTCCTCCTACTGAAAGGTAGGCCGAGCCCAGCCCCGGACCCCAGCCCTAGGCACAAGCCGCTGCAGATTATCCAAGGATGGGCTGCGGTCGGGATGGCTGCAGGCCGCCCCTCCACTGGCAACTTGACCGAGACAAAACACGCCTTGCCTTGCATCAAGCACGGCGAGCAAAGGCGACCTTGATGCTCAACGAGAGACGACGTTATGTCGCGCAGGCCCTTGCCCACTCATCCACTCATCCACTCGAGCTGACGCACACCAGGACCCGGCCGCGAGACACAATTTCTCGCCCTTTGTTGCAATGACACGCGCACGGTCCGTCATCCATGCCTGCGTCAAGCCCTGCGCCAAAACAGCCGTGTGTGATCACCGCCAAGCCTGGCGTGTCATGGCGTTCTTGGTGACACAGCTGCCGCCAAGCGCAGTTGATCAACCCGATTCTGCGCCGTTGTGCGCCTCCAGGCGTCAAGGGTCGTGGCGTGTCTTGGCGGTATGGCTGTAGCCGCCGCCTTCAGTCTTGACACGCCGGCACTGGCCCGACGTCGCGGCAACTTGACACCCTTTCCCGGCGCCGTGCCTCGACCTTGCCCGACTTCTCCAGATACTGTTGCTACGTACTTACTGGGGCACCTTTGCGCATTGAATGGCGCCTTGTCCGACAAGAGACCCTTGCTCGGCTGGTTCCGGCCCCGCTGTCACGGGCGGCCGACAAGTCGTCGCAAACACAACGAGTATGAGTATGCATCAGAGGTTCGGCCCCCGAGATCGGCATTTCAAGGCGGCGACGGAAAAAGAAAGCGCTGGCCAGAAACACGAACGTTGGCTGGCAGTGCCGACGCCTCAGTCGCTGCTTGTCACCGTTGCAACGGTCATTGGAGTAAGATGCCGAGCCGATTGCAGCCGGTAAAGGGTAGTGCTACCCTACTGCGTACGAGTATGCCGGTGTCAAAGTTCTCGCAAGCCCAACTTGGGGCCAAGTACAGTACAACCAGAGGGAGCTTGGGGGAACACAAGAATCCAAGCCAAGTCCGCCAGCCAACGGATGCTCCGGTGCCGTGGGATAGACGACGCCGTTTGACAAACGGGCCTTTGTGCGACGCTCCTCTCGTCCCCACTTGCCGTACCCAAATCTGGGGAACTGCTAATGCCCTGCCTTATCACTCGGTGATTACGCCGGTTCTGTAGGTGACGAGATTGTCGATCGCTAATTGTACTGGTCTCACAAGGCGCCATATCAAAGGACTTTGGCGTCAGTCAAGGGGGCTTGAAGTCCCCAATGTGCAGGCGTCGAATTAGCCATCGAATTGCTCGGCTGCCGCGACGGCCCGGTACCACGATGTGCGACATGGTGACGGCCACGCCCGGTGCTTCCCGCAGTAGTCCTCCAAACGCATGGCGGCGACGAATGAGTAACGTTAGGAGCTGCAGCAAGTACTACCTGCCGCTGTGCGATAGCTACCGCTGCAAAGACGTCGTGGGTGAAACACATATTCGACCTCGGCCAAGAACCTGGGTTACCCAACTACTCGCATTGGCGGAAGCGTGTTGTTGACGCTTGACACAACCGTCTTGGTGCCAAGGAGCTTCAAAACAGCCGAGACATCTACCATCGCTTGGCACAGCTATCAGGGAACCACGTCACCTCCTCGCTGTCCCTTTGCAAGCTTTTGCCTACTGAGACTGCGCACCTCTTCCACTGCGCCAAGACGGAGGGCGAGTGCACAGATCTCATACTTGGCTCTAAGCAAGGTGGAATGACTCTTCTGCGTTTAGATTTCTGGCAATGTTCAGTGTGCCAGAGACCTTGGAAGCGCCAAAGACAATGGTCCCATTCTGCTTTGGGACAAAACGAGTGTGACTGAGGGTACGTCAAAGCGCTGCCTCGGACTGGTTCCACCATAGATTGGTCCACCGCACTGCATGTAGCCTGCTGTGTCATGGCGCACAAATGCATCGCCAGTCTTGTCCGGCGGCGTGGAGGCAGGGGAACCCCAACTAGGAATGAGTACCTACGCAGAGGACCGCGTGCTCGGAGCCGAGGCCACGGCAGGCTTGGCGGGGGTGGAGGGTTCCAGGATTGATGTTTGCAGCGCGGAGGGAGTCGTTCATGGCGTTCATGGTTGCGATCCGAGCCTCGACCCTAATAGCAATAGAGTGTAGGGCTGTAACTACTGTTTTGAGTACAGTAACTTGCACTTTGGTGCAGGCGGTACTCGCGACATGCTGCACTTGGTCTGCTGATGAGGGAGTCAGGCGACAAGAAAGCCACGCAGCTGGCCAAGGCAACCTGCATGGCTAGGCGCCCGGGCTGGCGATGGCGGGCATATCGAAGACTTGCTGTAGCTTGAGGCGCGGAACATCCGCAGATGGACAGGCCGGCTTGAGACGCGCCATCTCCGAGCTATGCTGGCACTCTTGCGGATCTTCAGAGCCTACTGGGGCGCAGATATGCCGACCTTGAGGGAGGATTCTGGGACATTACCGCAGGGTAGATCTACTCTGCGAGCTTCCATCACGTAGTCTCAGCGATGGTTTGTGATGAAGCCCGGCGCAGTGCAATGGATGGCATCAAGGCCTCGCGCGTGGCAGGTGCTACACCGATGTCGATGCACATTCGGCGATCGGCCGGCATCTCGCACGGAAGCCCCGAGTGCTCCGATGCCCGTCTCTGCCATGCCTCCATGTTGAGGCCTCGCCACCAGGGACCGGGGGTACAACGACATGGCCCTTGTCTCTGAGCAGTAAAATATGCGCACATAAGTAGATACCGTATAACCTCATTCATCTCCGTCCTGCAAGCCCGAAGCCGGGGCCGCAGGCACCGCACCGAAGAGTTCAGGCAGCTTTGAGTCCCCACAGGCGCTGTGGCAAGAACCCTACAGAAGCGCGTCTGGCTCCTCAACGTGCTGCGCGACGAGCGAGGCCGTCGCGGTGATGATGAGCATGACATGGTGGTTGCGGCATGTTGACGAATGCATCGGCGGGAGGAGTGTGATTTCTGATGGACGTTGCCAAGTTGCTTCACATGCAGCTGCCGTGATCGACGGGCTCCTGTCCCATTGGCCGTGACGGGCCCCAGCCACACCTCCAATGCAAGCCATCCGCGTCGGCCCAATCACAGCTGGGGGAGGGTCTGACTGAGCCACAGGTTGTGCTCTTGGTGCCCTGGGCGGACAGGCCTGGCTGGCTGGCCTGGCCTGGCAGGAATCCTGGGCCTGCAAGGTCTGGTGCAGTGCACTGTCAGCGGCCGAGCAGGGTGCGGTGCGGTGCGGGCGGGCGGGATCACGATTTGCATGGGGGAGCTGGTGGAGGCCTGGCAAGGGAAAGTGGAGGCGCCCGCCCGCCCCTGTGGATGGATGGGATGGGTGTTGGGGTGGACGGCGAATGGACGCGGGTGGTCTTGGTGGTGGTGGTGGCCGGTGGATAGGTGGATGGGATGGGTGGGTGGCGGTCGGTGGTGCGCACTGCGCAGCTCCCGCCCGCGAACCCGCCCCTGCTGAGCCAACCTCAGCGCCGCCGTCAAAGGCCACTAACGACGTGCAAAAAGACTCGAGCTCGCTTCCTTTCCTGGCTCTGGTCCATCTGTGCCCGCCGACCCAAGTTGCCTGCTTCATCCAACCGCCAACCGGTTCATCAGGCAAACGGCCGACCGTCGACAGCCCACAGACAGCGCCATCGCCACGGGGCCTAGGCGCCGTTCACGAGCACATTGCCGAGCACATCGACGACGACGCAGCCCCCGAGCGAATCGATTGCTTCTGGCGGCCACCGGCCCGACAACGACACCACCACACATGCCACGCCCCAGCTGACGAACGCTTCCCCCCGCCGCCGCCCATCGACGACGACGCCGGCGACTCGATTCTCCGCCCCCGCCCACCCCCGGCTGGGTTGTTGTTGAGGGGGTGGTGAAGCATTCGACATGGCCGACTCGTCGCCGCGTGCCGTGCGCTTCTCGGGCGGCGAGGACGACCTGCAGCCCGAGCGGCCACAGGGCCGCCGGCGCTCCATGGTCGTCCACCTCGAGACCGAGGACTCGTCCCCGGGCTCCGATGCCGCCGACCCCCACGCCAACGAGCGCCGAGACGAGCTCGGGGACCTCGAGGCCCGCTACGTCGACGGCGGGCCCGTGTCGCAGCTGTCACCGAGCACCGCAATGAACGGCACGGCGTCCAAGGGCCAGTGGTCTGCCGCAGCCGGGGACGAGGCGGCCGGTTATCCCAACGGAACCCGGCCGCAGAGGCCTCTGGCTCCGGCGCGGACGCCGTCCAGCACGTACAACCCCGCCACCTCGCGCAAGCCCGGCATGCAGCAGCAGCAGCAGCAACAGGCGCAGCAGCAACAGCAGCCCACGCAACAGCAGGCGCAGCAGGTCCCGGCGGCCTCGTTCGTCGAGTCGATCCGCTCCACGTCCAAGACGCGTCCGCGGCAGAGCGAGAGCAGGTTCCGCGCCCAGGAGCGGGCCTACGTGCAGAAGCTCCGCCAGGACTACTCGGGCGAGTACTTTACCTCGTACCAGACCATCAACGGCAACGATTCAGACTCGGAGGGGGAGACGCCCTCGTCCGACACACCCTATGATGACCGGCTCGACCAGGAGACGATAATGTTTTACGGCAACGACGACCTTCAACCGACCGAGGAGGACACAAAAGACCCGGAGAAACGCGAGCGGCTCGAGTGGCACGGCATGCTCGAGGCTGTCTTGACAGGCGACGTGGTTCGGCAGGAGAAGAAGCGTCTCATCGGCTCCGGCGACCAGCAAGCCGGCAAGATGGCGCACAAGTCGGAGCTATGGCTGGGGGTCCGCGCGGAGTCGTGCGGCCGCCGCCTGCCCGTGCAGCGGCGCATGGTCGAGGAAGCCCGCGCCATCCTCGACCGTAAGCTGGACGAGATCATCAACTTCCAGGTAAAGGGCGAGAGCGAGGTGGGCAAGCCCCCGTACGAACAGGTCAAGGACGTGGTCAGGAAAATCGAAGAGTGCGAGGGCTTGTATCCCTCGTGGGACGCGCTGGCAGCCGACCATAAGGTGGCCGATTCGCCCATGTTCCACGAGGCCTACAACGCCATCTTTTCGTGGTACAACACCAACGAGATGATCAACACGGAGCTCTCTATCCTCAAGAAGTGGGTCGGCAACGACGAGCTCGACTTTTCGCGCACCAAGCAGCGATCGCCGGCCGTCGACGGCATCACCTCGGACGAGACGTCCTTCCTGGACCGGTTGATGAAAGAGGACGGACTTCAGTCTCTATACAACGACGACGAGCGATCAACCCAAAAGGGCATGCTGCGGCCTATCTCGTCCATCATCAGCAAGGTCAAGGAGACGCTAATCGAAAACTCGACCCCTTTCCAGAAGCGACACCTGCCGCCGTATCTGGAGGAGCTCCTGACGCTCATCAGCTTCCCGTCTCGCCTCATCGAGGAAATCACCAAGACGCGCCTCGAGTACGCTCGGCGGGTCAAGGAGACGGCGCAGCAAAATCCCCTGATGCAGGACCAGATGATTTCCCAGTTTCAGCTGCTCCTGAAGTTTGCCATCAGGATCAAGCTCGAGTATCTGGCGATTGAAAGCCCCGAGCCCGGGTGGGACCTGCCGCCGTGTATCGACGAGACTTTCGACCAGGTCGTCCTCGACGCTCTCAAGTACTACTTCAAGATGCTGAACTGGAAGCTCAGCGGCAACAAAAACACCTTCAAGGAGGCAGAGCTCCTGTTTCAGGAGTGGGACTTTGCCAACTACATCGGAAGCCACCTGCAGGGCGGCCACATCGAGGTCGCCGAGCAGTTCAGCTCCCTCACGTTCAAGGCGCTCAACCGACTGAGCCAGACGTTTGAGAAGGAGCTGCAGGTGAAGCCCAAGGAGAGCGCCAGCGAGATGAGCAAGCGGTACAAGGCGTGCCTGGACTCGGTTCGCGTTCGGCAACGCATGCTTCAGCGTTTCTCGAGGATGCTGAGTGACAACTACGAGCACGCCTCGGACTTTAGCATATCCTTCACCCCAGACGCGATGCAGAAGTTTTACGACCACTTGGTGGCGTCGGGCCACTTCCGCGTCGACACGGGTGTCTATGAGAAGCAGGGCACCTACATTCTGGCGTCGCCGCAGCTTCACGGCCGGCCGGAGGACATACAGGCCATGATGGCCATCACGTCCAAGGAGCGCTTCCCCGAGGAATACGGCGAGCGGTACCTCCTCGTCTTGCGGCCGGAGGACACGTTCAACTGGTTCGGCGACGTGGTGCAAGTCTCGCTGCGAGAGCAGAGCATCGACCTGAAACGCGGACAGGTGCGGCTCTGCGCGTCCAGCTCGCACGCCCTGCCCGAGGCGAGGCGATCGTTCCTGGACGCCGTGGACATGCACGTCGATCTCCTGCAGGAGTCGAGGTCCAACATCCACAAGGTCAACACGAGGCTGTTGGAGATCCGCAGGGTCGCATACAAGCTGTCCAACACATTCATGGACAGCGTCGAGGTCATCCGGAAGCAGACCCAGGGCAAAGACTGCCAGGAGCTGATCCAGACGTGCTTCGTCTTTGCGACGGAATTCGGTCAGCGCTCGCTGCTGTACATGGACAGCAACAGGCGGCAGATGAACAACTTTAAGCTGACCAAGCTCGCGCTCGACTGGGTGAGCTTCATCTGCAACGACTGCATCGCGTCGGACCGCAAGACGTTTCGCTGGGCGGTCCTGGCGCTCGAGTTCGCCATGGGCATGACGCGCGGCAGGCACATCCTGGCGCTCGGCGAAGACGAGTACGAGAAGTTGCGGGTCAAGGTGGGCGGGTGCATGTCGCTGCTCATCTCTCACTTCGACATCATGGGCGCGAGGTCGAACCTGGCGGCGCAGGCGGAGAAGGAGAAGATTGAGCAGCTCGTGGGTCAGTTTAGGAAGCTCGACAAGAACAGGATGCTCTCGGACGAGGAGGCGTCGCGGTGCATCACGGAGCAGCGCGTGGATCAGCTCGACAAGGTGGACGAGTACCGGCAGGAGAAGGAGGCGGAGCGGCGGGCGCTGGGCAGGGTGCTGGAGACGAACAACGAGGCGGACCGATCGCTGGCGTACCTCTCGTCGTCGGCGACCAACGTCACGATGCGCTGGCAGCAGGGGCATTTTGTGGGCGGCGGCACGTTTGGCAACGTGTACGCGGCGATGAACCTCGACCTGGGCCAGCTGATGGCGGTCAAGGAGATTCGACTGCAGGACCCGAAGCTGATTCCGCAGATTGCGGAGAAGATCCGGGAGGAGATGGGGGTCCTCGAGGTGCTGGACCACCCCAACATTGTGTCGTACCACGGCATCGAGGTGCACCGCGACCGCGTGTACCTGTTCATGGAGTTTTGCTCGGGCGGCTCGCTGGCCGGGCTGCTGGAGCACGGGCGGATCGAGGACGAGCAGGTCATCATCTTTTACGCGCTGCAGCTGCTGGAGGGGCTTGTGTATTTGCACGAGAGGGGCATCGCGCACCGCGACATCAAGCCCGAGAGTGAGTGGAACATTCTGACCAAGACTGCGAGTGACTGAGACTGACTGACTGGCGAACCTAGACATCCTGCTGAACCACAACGGCATCATCAAGTACGTCGACTTTGGCGCGGCCAAGGTGATTGCGCGGCAGGGGCGGACGCTGGCGGCCGACGTGCACGCGACCAAGCCCAACAAGTCGATGACGGGAACGCCCATGTACATGTCGCCCGAGGTGATCAAGGGCGAGAACCCGGGGCGGGCGGGCGCGGTGGACATTTGGTCCCTGGGGTGCGTGATCCTGGAGATGGCGACGGGACGGAGGCCGTGGGCCAACCTCGACAACGAGTGGGCCATCATGTACAACATTGCGCAGGGCAACCCGCCGCAGCTGCCGTCGCCGGACCAGCTGGGGCCGGACGGCATCGACTTCCTCAACAAGTGCTTCATGCGGGACCCCAAGGAGCGGCCGTCGGCGGTGGAGCTGCTGCAGCACGAGTGGATCCTGGCCATCCGCAACCAGGTCGTGGACCCGATGACGCCGAGCGAGACGAGCGCGTCGGCGCAGTCGACGCCGCTGCTGACGAGCACCTCGAGCAGGGGCAGCGCGGGGCTGGAGTCGCAGTAGGTGAGAGAGAATGGGGGGCCTGTGGATGGATGACACGAGTATTTGGAAAGGCCTTTGCGCTCCCCCTTGAATTTGCCTCGGATACGATTACTGTTTATATGGCTGGCGCGGCAGGCAAAGGACATGGAGGGGAGCGGGAGCAGGCGGGCAGGCATGGGACGGACGGGACAGGACAGACCGGGTACGGTCGGATCCAGGGGGCCAGGACGAGACGACGATGCCTTGACGAAGATACCATCTATTGGGCGGGGATGTGGTGTGGTGGAATGGAAGAGGCGCTGGCAGGCGCCATTACATGCATACATATCTAGTTTATCTTGTTGTAATAATGGCGAGAGCAGAGGGCACACTTGAAGGGGACGGGGCCACAAAGAGCCCGGCAATTCATCCATTCGTCCGTCCACTGAATGGGGATGATATTCGAGACCCTTTATCAAATGCCGAGCCGTGTCCCACGCCGCCACCTTTTTTCTTGGAGTCGCCATCTGCACCAATACGTAAAAGCGCAGAGAGCCATGACCTCAGTTGGGCAGCTGTGCCTACGGTGCCTTGAAACGGTCGAGCTCCATCTGGCCGTGGCGTGGCGTGGCGTCCCCACACATGCGTCAAAGCTGGCTGGCCCCTCCATCGTGGGGTTGCCGCCCGCCGCGCCGTGTTGCCGCTCCAACAAACGTCATGCTCATCTCATCCTCCATCCTTGCGCCTGGTTTTCCTTGGTTGGCTTCTCTTTTTCCATCACTCACGCACTCACACGCACTCACACGCACTCATACGCACATCACGCACATCACACACCCGCCACCTCTCTCTCGTCGACTTACACCGGGCGGCGCGCGCACCCATCGCCTCATTGTCTCATCATCCACGCTCTTCAGTGTCGTCATCCCCACCGCGCGCTCTGCGATTTTCCCCCCTCCTGGCCTTATTTCCTTGCGTTGGCTTGTCTTTAGCAGCGACCCGGTGCAGATACACGCAAGCACACACACGCACACACATAATCGCGACGAGGTTCATCGGCGAAAACAAAGAAAAACAGCCGTTGTGAAATATACGATACCGGTCTAACGAGGACTCAAGGGAAGGAAAGGAAAGGAGACGTCAAGATGCCCAGCCCCATGCTCCGCTCCGCGTCGTCCAACGCGGCCGTCTCCTCGACGTGCAAGAGCCACGGCCTCACGCAGCGCGAGTTCCGGCAGCTGCGCGACAGCGCCGTCGCGGCAAAGGACACGGCCTACTGCCCCTACAGCAAGTTTCGCGTCGGCGCCGCGCTGCTCGGCCCTAAGAATCGCGACGGCGATGAGGATGAGGAGGAGGATGAGCACGAGAATGGGGAGGAGGACGAGGAGGACAAGATTGTCACGGGCGCCAACGTCGAAAACGCAAGCTACCCCGTGGGGACGTGCGCGGAGCGCGTCGCGCTCGGCAATGCCGTCACGAGGCCCGGCTGGAGGAGGCACGCGAGGGGCGGGTTCAGGGCGCTGGCTGTGGCGACGGATGTGAGCCCGCCGGCGAGCCCGTGCGGCATGTGCCGGCAGTTGTGAGTTTTTTCCTTCTTCCTTCACTCCTTGACACTGTAGCTCTTGGTTCAGATCCCCAAGAACAGGGCGGGGATATCGCGGCATGCTGAGTCGTCGCTGACCATGCCCAACCTCTAGCATCCGCGAGTTTTGCAGCATGGAGATGCCCGTCATCATGTTTGACAAGAAGGACCAGTACCTCGTCCTCACCGTCGAGCAGGTAAGGCACACATTCTTCTGCACCTTTTCTTTCTCGTGTGCTACGGCCACGGGGACTTGAACGAGCGTTTGCTGAGAGAGTCATGCAGCTGCTGCCCTCGTCGTTTGGGCCCAACGACCTGCCGCCGCCGGACAATGCCGAGTAGCTGTGAGGCTCTATCGACTTTTTGTTTGCCCTTTGCATTGGAGGTGGTGTCGTTGTTGCCCTTTGCATCGGAGGTGGTGTTGTTGCCCTTTGCGTTGGAGGTGGTGTTGCTGTTGTTGCTGTGCCTGGGTTGGTGATGATGATGACGATGACGATGATGAAAGGCCTTGTTAGCTGGAGGCGTTGGGGATGCATGCACGGGGGCCTGGCCGTGGGAGTTGTTTGACATGTACGCGGGGAAGGGAGGCAATTGTGTGAAGATGCGGGATGCGCATCGAATAGTATTAAGTATGAGGGAGATGAGTGAAGCTTCAGCTACCTACTGCACAAGAGCTGCCTGCCCCTTCTCCTCTCGGTGTGTGTGTGTGTGTGTTTTGTGAGTCCCTCCCTTCGAGGCCATTACATATTATTGCCCCTTTCAAAATAACCACGGCCCGTATACACGAGCTCGAGCCGGGATGACTGTCCTCGCGTTCCCATATGTCGGAAACGCTCAGCTGTACAAGAGTACAAGGTTTTGTGCGTTTGTCACCACTTGACGCTATTGGTTATGTCTCGCTGATGCCGCCTCCCATCAATCAGGCGCTGACCTTCAGCGAGTCGCCCATGTTCACGTCAATGAGCGGGTCCCCGTCGTCGATATGCACCGACAGGCCGCCATTGTCGTTCTCATCCTCATCATCCTGCTCAACGTCATCCTCGCAGGGCTCCTCTGTGGGAGCTGCTGGGGGTGGTGGTGGTACCGCTGGGGCAGGCGTGTCTGGGTGAAACGGCTCCGTGGGGAGCGGCTGGGCGACGGCGGGCGGCGGCGGCGTGTCGGGACGGAAGGGCTGCGTGGGGTGCGGCTGCTCGGCGGGAACCGTGGGCCGCATGTACACCTGTCTCTTATACACATCTAGATGTGTATAAGAGACAGTCCCTGCGCTGGGCGGCGGCGGCGGCGTATCGGGCTGCCATCTGCGGTGTGCATCAGTGACCGGACCATCTTTGTTTCTGCTGGATTTATTTTGCGGTACCTGTTTGATGTGAAAATTGCCGTGCTTGGGCACAGCATGGACGCCGGCCGCCGCGAGGCCCGCTGCCACGACAATGGTTGAGAAGCGCATGCTGTTGTCTCTGTGTCTTGATATTTCCGAAAAGTCGTACAACAAACAGCGCGCGGTCTGATTTGACTCTATGAAAAGACCAGCTCAATTGCCTACCACGATTACGGCGGTAGCGACAGGAGGTATATATGTCATGGCGAGGGCTCTCTCAACACCAGGCGCTATCGAGGCAATGTCTCACTGGCGACGAAGAGGGCGGCCCTTCTCGAGGATGGGATATCGAACGTCCACCGCAAAAAGGGAGCCACACACATCGATAGGATCAATTGGAGACTAAGTAAAAACAATTGTTCTATTTTGGCCGTGGCGGTCGCTGTGGGTGAGTGTCTCGCAACCGGCCCTTGGGGAGGGAGCGGTATTATCGCTAGGGAAGAAGGAGGCGACCCCCAGGTCAAGGGAGGTAATGTAGAGGGGAAGCGCCTCACTCTCGATGAGGAAGAAACCATCCATCGGTAGGAGAAAGCAATCAATTAATCGACGCCGAAGAGCCACTACAAAAATTGGCGTTTTGCATACCATCATCCCCCTCCTGTTGGCCCCTTGTCCCGTCATCGCCAATCGGCTCCATCTATCATGTAGACTTGCCTGGACAGGCAGGACCTTGGTGTTTTCCTCTGCGCCGGCAAGGCATTGTTATTAATTGGCAGTGCCGTCGCCCTGCCGCATCGCCTCCCAGTCCCAACTCCCGACCCCGAATCCCTCATCGGCAGAAGCGCTTAGAGCCCCACGGATGACTGGGGAAACTGGCACTGGACGACGCGTGCATACGCGTCCACGTGGAAAAACACGCAGGACGTCCTGCCACTGCCGTGACACGGCATGGCACATTCGAGTACGTAGTACGTGAACAGGGTGGCCGTCCGCTGAATCAAGTAAATTGACTTGAGCTTCGCACGTGGCAGAGCGTTGGGGCAATGGCGCGCGGCTGTGGGCCTGGCACGCAAAACTTTCGATGTGCATGAACGTGGACGTGAACCGGGACGCCACCGCGCATGAATACTCAGCCGGAGGCGCCAATGCGCGTACGTATTCGACTCGAATAGTCCCCAGTTGCGCGGGCCAGACACTTGCGACTCGTATGTGCAAGGCAGATGCTGCTTGCAAGGGCATATGTACGAACTACGAAGTACAGCAATAGCCCCTATGTCGAGTGGTTCTTCCCTCTCCACACGGGTACAACCTATGGCGTCGGTCTCTTTAGTCGAGAAAGGTTCGGGTTTACAGTCAGCCATTATCAATATTGACACGCGTCATCCTTTACGGGGACTTGGTCTGATGGACTGGACCCTGCATCTCCTGACCATTTGCGGGCGGGTGACTTCCACCGCGACTCGTAACTACGTTACCCACATACGTCGTACATTGTATTCGTCGCTTATCAGTGAGGCCCTGCTCCAGGGACTGGCGGCACCGTAGACGTCAAGTCCGCCAAGCTGATTGCTGTCTGGCGAAAGTGACAAGCCGCGACAAGCAACGCAATCAACGACGTGTTCATCATGTCTAGGCCGTGACTTCGTCACCCTCTACCACGGCGTCTGCTCCCTCGCCGGGCTCCCATTCCTCGATGCCCGACACTCGCGCCCAGCAGCCATGAATCGTGGATACGGACACGCATTGTTCTTTCCCCTCCTCTCTTGCCGATCCACGCTCGTTGGAATGCTTCTGGTTTGCTCGCGTGGTCTTCAACCCAAACAGGACAGACAGAACGGGGGTGTCGAAGCATCGTGACTCGTCGGGACCCATGGCCTGATGCCGGATCTTGGCGTTTATGCGTCTACCTCTCTTGCGGCATTTCAGAGCAAGGAACAGAAGAAGGCGATAGATGTCAGGAGGAGAATTCCGTCGCCGCCGCTCAATATAAATATATAGCTCCTTCCCGAGCCTTTATTATCGGCAACCTATCCAATCTCAACAGCTCGTAGCTCTCTGCTTCCCCCCTTTCCTGCCACCAATCAACCGTCAAGAACGTGTAAAAGCACACCTACCGAAAATGAAAGCAGCAGTCGCTACCAGCCTCGTCGCCGTCCTTGCCGGCATGGCCATGGCGTACCCACAGTCGCCGTCGCCGTCGCCTTCCTCGTCCGCGACAGAGTCGTGGTCCCCGGCGCCCGACGGAACTGTTTGCAAGCAGCACTCCGAATGCGGAGGATGTGGCCCCAATGGCTTTAAGGACCCCCGGGGCAAGGATTCCTCAGCATCGATGACCTGCTCGTTGTGCTACCCCAGCTATGCCATGGGCATTGACGAGAACAAGTGCTCCCAGTCCGTTTACTGGGACGACGAGCTCAAAGAGGTGAGGCAATCATGCAGCCCATTGCATCGACGGAGTGTGATAAACGGAGGGGCTAACTTGTCTGTGTTACGTGTAGGTCTTGGATATGGTAAGCAAAGTCGCACGAATCATTGCACTTGTGACGGAGGCTCTACTAACATCGTGGACGCATGGCTATAGCTGGCCAAAGAGGTAAGCAGTCCCCCAGCCATTGCGAGTTGCTCACCCAGCGGAATGAACAAAAGTCAACAACTCAATAGAACGGGACCAATTAGACATCGCCATGTCCAGACAATCGCCTGGCCTGGATATCACCGTCCTCACGCAGAGGCACGCCTTCTCTCCGGGTGCTGGAACGGGTGGAGGATGGTTGATGCGCTTGGCAACTTGGCCCTCCCGTCGTTACTGCAATCGCATAGAGGCATAGAGCAATCAAATCATCGACATCTTCACCCATATCACCCTTTTGTGCGTCGTCGAGGATGGCCTAGTTATCAAGACATCTCGAGCCGGGTCTGCAAGGCAAATATTCGCTTCATTTCGCGTCGAGTAAACTACAAAGAATAAGGGCCGGCCTTCCCGCCCCGGCGAGCGATGCGCCGCGGGCAAGGCTCGGCCATGTGCGTGCGACGGACGGTAGTCGCCCAATCGCGGGTATTGATCCTATCAAATCGCGTGCAAACATGAAATGCCCCCGATGCCCCTTGACCGGCTTAACCGTGAAACCGTTTCAGCTTCTTCGTACGGGGCCATGCTGATGCGAAAACAGTCGAATTCTTTCTCTCCGTTCATGAAAATGCCAGACGATACGTCACTGGCGTCTCCGCCCCGCGAACTCCCAAACAAAGATGCGGCGAATAGGCCCCAAAATAGGACCAGGCGTGTCGGATGGGTCAGCGACGCTTTCTGCGCAGTAGACCCGATGTCAGTCTTTGGTCCAAGACCATGATACCGACATGGCTGCCAGGCAGGCTGCACGCCGTCACATGGGTCTGGAGTGAACGTCGTGTGCCCCAACTCCCTAGCAGACCCCAGTGGTAGGTGATGCGTCGATCGTGCGCCAGACAGGCTCTGAGGGCGCCCCGCGGTAGCTATTCAAGCAGAACCTTGACGATTTCAATCGCATCCAGCGTTGCCCCGCCCTGAGACGCAGAATGTATCGGTGCCATCGCGGGTCGCAGCCACGGGGCCAAAACTGTGAGACACTTGAGCAAGATACAAAGCCTGTGTTGATCCTGCGACGTGAGCAAGTCGAAGGGAACGTGGCATGTCGAGGGCAGCTTTCGTGTCGAGGTCGCCAAAGTCTCGGCTGGTGCCGGTTCCAAACTCCGAGAACACGATCAAAGGACGTCTTCCAATTTCACATCTCAGTCCTCCCAGATAGTTTCCAGGTCAATGTCGCCCCGTCGCTCGGCACCGCAAACGCTCCATCGCTTGCGCTTGTCTCTCGAGCCGTAGCTCATGGTCCGCCCGCGAACAGGGACATCCGAATTGTTACTGCCGCCGCCGTTGCGCCCCTTGGACGAGGACGAGTCGGATGAATCGCTGCCTTCGGCGGCATCCGCGGCTGCCTTCAACTGTGCCATCCTCTCAGCTTCCAACGCGGCTTCCTCTGCGTCCGGCGAGTCGGGGATGGTCTCCAGACTGGATATACTGGGGCTCCTTGACCGTGCGGATGTCGGCGTCGAAGGTACAGACGAGAATCCCCCACCATATGGCGCGAATGCATCGTATGCACGGAATGATGACGCGGAAGAATTGGACGAGGGCGTGGAGGGCAAAACGGAGAGGGAACTGGTACTCGGCGGAGCAAAGCTGCGCAGTGGCGACGCCGGGCGCAGGCGGTTCATGGTGTTGAAGGAAGTGCCCAGGATCGGAGAGGTGCTTCTCTCGCCGGGCGTGGACCGCCGATCCGGTTCCAGGACCGAGGTCCGGACCGGAGACGTCGGCGGGAATGCCTCGTCGACAGGCTTCCGCGGCGTGCGAACGCGACTAGGGGATCCCGATGGGCTAGCGGGCCGCAGCTGCGGCGAGTAGAGGATGCGGCCAGATCCGCTGACGCCTGGCATGGACTGCGTGCGCGACATGGGCACGGCGAGGCTAGCGACTGATTTTGAACGGCCGTGAGAACCAGAGAGCGGAGAGGCGGTCCGAGGGCGATACGGAAGCGAGGCGACGGTCGCGGTGCTCCATGAAGACGCGCTGGGCGAAGAGGGACACGGGTCCGTGCTGCGGCGCACCGTGGGTGGCTTCCGGGTCGCGTCGAGGTCGAGCCTTGGGATGGGGGCGTTTGCATTGCCGAGGCGCAGTGAAGGGACCGGTGAGGACTTGAACTCCTCCATTCGCTCCGTCTCAGGAACGGGTTCCATGGCGCCGGGTGTGCGCTGCGACGGGCATGTAGTGGTGGTGAGTGCGCGCGCGTGTGCGTGTGTATGAGCGAGAATGAGCAGCACTGGCAGGGAGGACGGCTAAGCGTCACGGTCGAATTGAAGAAGAGCAGTGCAGTCCGTCCCGCGGACGGGAAGGTTGACGTGACGAGGACCGGGCAGGTAGAAGAGGAGGCGGCAAGTGGTGCTTCAGGTGTCGCAGAATGGCCCGCCGTGTGCCGCCAAGCGGTTCTGGAACAGGGTGTCTCGAGGCACGTCGATTCGTCGCAGTAGCAGGGGCACCGGAACGGATGGGCCGTCAGCTACAGCCGGGTGGCCTGGACCGGGGCAGAATCTGGGGTCGCGACGCTCGGGGCGGTTCTGGTGCGGTCGAGGCTGCTGCGACTCTGTGCACGCCGACCGAGATGTGAGTGTGAGGCGAAGCGAGTGAGGCAAACAGAGAGAGCGAAAGAGGGGTCCGGAAGGGCCGTGAGGAGCACGCAGAGGTCGAGTAAATAAAGGATGCAGCGGATGAGCGGGCGAGAGTGAAAAATAGGTGTGAGTTGGTGAGACAATAAACTCTGGTCGCTCGAGTCAGACGGCCGGTGCCTGCATTCCAGACGATCCAGCCCAGCTGCCGCGGCGCCCGGCGGGGAGAGCGCAGTGCATGCAGCGGGCGGGCAAGCGCAGAAAACAAACACGGCGGTTTGTTGCTTCTTTGTTGAGCACGGACGGGCGACGCGGGTGCTGTTGCTGGCGGTGGCGCTGGTGCTGATGCCGACTCGATGTTTCCCCTGCACAAGTTATGGACGCAATACCGCGGCGGACAGCGGTGATGGTTTGTTTTGCGGGCACTCGGTACTATTGGGGACGAGGCGCCACATACACCGCCTGCGCCGTCGCCGTCGATGGAACCCCAGCAGGTCCCGTCGCTGTCTCGCAGCCGCCCAGACACGGGAGGGCGCGGGGCGTCTTTGTCGCCGGCGTCGAGCGTCGAGTGTCGGGCGAGGAACAAAGGGCGGGAGGCGCCCTTTGCGTTTGATTGCCAAAGCCGTCGATGTCGTCGATGTCGTTGCCGATGGGCACAAGGGCGAGAGGGGCGATTGAGGAGACGGCCGAAAGGCGCGGGCGGGACGCCTTTATCAGCGGTGGAGGTGACGAGGCAAGTGGAGGTGGAGTGAAAGAGTGGGAGAGTGAGAGGGTGGCGGGCGGGCGTGCAGGAGGAACCCACCTGGTGCTGTCTCGTTGATGATGGATGGATGGATGTTGGAGACTTCAAATGCACCTGTGCTGGCTGCCGGCCAGTGGAGAGTGCAGGGCCTGTCGAATCTGTCTCTGTCCGTGCAGGCGCTGCAGGGAGCGGGCACTCACCAACCTCGTGCGCTGTTACCGTCCGGTCCTCGTCCCTCGAATCTGAGCGACCAGTGAGCGCTGAAGCCCTGGTGGCCAAGCGCCGATCCCGCGACAGCTCCCTCTGGCAGGCGCATTGACGGGAACCCTCAAAGGGACAGGGCCCCCGGCGGATCTGCCTGGGCGGCCCCAAGGACCCCCCAAGGACCCCAAGCCCGCCGGCACCAGTGGAGGCGAGGACCCTCTCAGAACCCTTGATACCTTCCAAGGTTACCTCGGCGCCCTCTGCATTGGGGCTCCACTGGGCATTGGCCAGGGCGGGGGCCGGCACTGTGGCAGTTGGGCGTGACACTGGCAGTGGCAGCAGCCGTCCCCACTACGAGCGCCGTCGGGTGCTGCAACGGCGCAGGCGACCCTGTGATCCACTGGAGCAGCGACGGCGGGGGGCCCGCCATGCCCGCCATGCCCGCCCGCCTCCCGCGCTCCAAACTTAGGTGGAACCTGGAAGCCTCCCTCATCACTGGAGCAAGTCACTGCTCCACCCACCACCACCCCGGCTTTCACTGCCCTCCCGCCCAATCAATCGCAGCCCATGCTCGTCACCTTCAACCTCGATCCGGCCACTCACCATCGTCGGCGCCTCGCTCGTGCCTCACTCACCACCCGTCACCTGCTCCCCTTTGTCTTGGGGGCTCGTCACAGTCCCTCCAATGCCCTATCTAGGAGAGTCGCGCGCCCAACAATCAGTCGTCCTAGCTCGGCGCGACTGATTTCAGCAAACAAAAGTCGCTCATTCTTGCGCGGGCCGCGTTGCGATTCATTCGGTTTGGACATGACTCTATGGCATTCACATTCCTCCGCCTCGTCCATCTTAGTGCACTGACCGCCGAAACTCACTTGATTCACTCACTCACACAGATAGCCGCTCTCATGGGCGGGGCGATGGGTTCCCATCTTATTCTTCCTAGTCCCTCAGCGGTCACGATTCACTTGATTCACGCGCAGTGAGATATCGCTCTCACCTGTGATAGAAACTGCTACTAGAGCCATCTCCAGGCGAAGCTTGTGTGTACCAGGCGTCGCCCTCATGTATGACGAAAGTCACTACTTCAATCGTAGCTGGCAGAGCTCATCTCCGTCCTCGCCGTCCTCGCCAAGTCTCATCCCACACCGGAGACGGCTCTCAATGCCTCACCACATCACAGCCTTCGAAAAACAGACGGACTCACTCTCAATGTTCAGAATACCCTCTCCAGCCTCTATAAAGGTAGCCGGCAACAGCTTGGATATGCCTTCTTGCCAGCTCATCATCGTACACCATTACTCCGGTTCACTCACGACATCACGACACTCCCTGCCATTCTATTATACCAATCGTAGCCAATCCCACGACGTAGATTTCCAAAATGATGTCCAAAAACCCCTTTGAAGTCTTCAAGCATGACCCCACCGAGGATAACCTCCGAGAGTGTTTCCGCCAGGGTGGTCGCGTAAACCAATTTGACGATGAGTACGAGCAGTACGCCGTTGAGTTTGCCGTTCTTCAGCACTACAACGCTCGGTCTGACGGCGATGCTGCCGCGATGGACTTGTGGAGGTCCATGGTGGCCGTGTTCATGGAGCATAATGCCATCGTCGAATGGTGCTCAGAAGATGAGAGCACGCTCAATGTGTCGGAAACTGACAGGCTTTGGACCCGCCAGATCGTCCACTCTGAGCTCAACGTCTTGGGATACGGGCCGACGTTTGCAGGGCAATTTTAACGTCAGGGAACAAGTCGCTGCCATGCATTGTAGATCGCGAGGCATTGCAGCTTAGTTTCAGCCTGCGAAGTTAACGAGTCTCCATCTTGTTCGTGGTTTGCACACGAGCTCACGGTGCGTTGTTTCAGTATATGATGCCATGGTATAATCCAGTATCTGGGCGAAATGACAAGCAAACAAGGGCCGACGTGGATCCGAGTTTCGCAGTGCGGGCACATTGTCGCTCCTCCTATCGCCGTTCCAAGTTGCAGTGACTCGACTCCTTGTGTTCTCTCCGTAGCTGTGCAGCCACGGCAGCCGCCCTGTTCGGCCACCAGAAAACTATATCAGTGACTCTGAGCTCTTGCTCCCAGTGGAGTTCTTCTTTCATCTTCTTTCCCTTCCCTCCCTTCAGCAACCTCCTCTGCCTCCCATCTCCGGTTCACCACTAGCCATCACTTCCCCTCTCACGAGAGTTCGTGCACACGCTTCACTCTTGATCCAAGTCTCCGCTCACGAGCCAACGTAGCGTCACGTGTTTCTATACCCGTCTCACCGGTTCATCATGGCCACGTTATCTGACCTCTCGGGTCTCCTTCATGCCATAGAGGATTCCATCATCGTTGGAATCGACTTTGGAACCACGTAAGCCGAGACGCCGACATTAGTTTCCTAAGCCTCTCTAACCCGCTTCGCGACAGCTACTCTGGAGTCGCCTGGACCGACTCTGGGGACTGCGAGAACATTCGCATCGTCTCAAACTGGTCCACAAGCATGAGAAACTGCTCCCACACAGAAAAGGTACCAACGGCCTTGCGCCACGATGAGAACGGCAATGTCACTGGATGGGGCTACGGCGTGCCGCCGCGCTCGCAGAGTGTTCGCTGGTTCAAGCTACTACTTCTGGAGGAGAAGGACGTCCCGAAACATGTTCGCTGTTCCACCCAATTCCGAGCGGCCCGCGAGTATCAATTCGATCATAAATTGGATCCCGTCGACATGGCGGCTTCGTTTCTGAAGCATCTCTGGGAGCACAGCCTGAATCTCATCACCCGAGAGCTTGGCAAAGAATTGGTGGACAAATCGAGGTTTCACATCGTCATCACGGTTCCAGCCATGTGGCCACTCTACGCTCACGGCCGTATGAGACAGGCTGCTCAGAAGGCCGGGTTACTGACAGAACATCAAGGTAGAGAAACGCGTCTGAATCTCCTCTCGGAGCCAGAGGCTGCAGCGCTGGCGATCGTCTCTCGCCTCTACAAAAAGTCGACAGTCAAGGCAAGTAGCATCCGGAGGGGGAGAAAGGGCCCGCTCATCCACTACGGGAGCGTCGGCTAACATATTGTCCAGGTTGGAGATACGCTGGTCGTTTGTGACGCGGGAGGGGGAACAGCGGTACCAAGCCTCCAGACCTGGCCCATTCTGTCGCCGCGAGCAAGACTGACCATCGCCAATTATAGGACCTCATCAGCTACGTTATTGAGAGCGTCGTCCCATTTGAGGTGAAGGAGTGCGTCAAAGGCGCAGGTACGTGCATGTCGTGAGAACATCATCAAGCCTTATCTGATCTCGGCTCAGGAGATTTGTGCGGAGGTGTTTTCCTCGACGAGGAATTCCTCAAGTTGGTCGAGAGGAAGGTCGGCCGCGTGATTTTCGGGAAATTCAACCACCACGTGAAGAGAAAGTTTCTCAACGACAATTGGGAGCACAGCATCAAGCCCCAATTCAATGGCAAACAAGCCACCTGGACGGTTGAGGATCTCCCTGCTGTGTGCCAGGCCCCCGGCCGAGGTCAAAAGCGTATCAGAGAATTAGAATTCAGCTCGTGAGTGCCTTCTTGTAGCTGTTACTCCCCGATAAGTCCCTACTGATTCGATCAACAAAGGCGCGACATCTCGTCGGTGTTCGACAGTGTTGTGGGCAAGATTGAGGAGCTCGTGATGCAGCAGCTGGCGGCCATCCAAGCCAAGTACCAGAAGCCGGCAAAGGTAAGCCGTCAATGTGCAGAAGTGACAAGTCTTGGACAGCCACTTATTTTATTAGTATGTCGTGCTTGTGGGTGGATTTGGTCGCAGCCCCTATCTGCATGACCGGCTGCGCGAAGCAGTTCCAACCTCAACCGAGATTCACCAGCCAACGGGACATGGGCCGTGAGTCGAGACCTCTTAATGATTATACTCGGCTTACTGATGGAGCTTTTCAGGTGGACCGCTATATGCCAGGGCGCAGTCATGTACGGTCGCACCATCCGCAATCTGCTGCGCCCGCCGCCAGTGGCTGTGAAGGCACGAGTAGCTCGTGCCAGCTACGGCTGGCGAGTGAATGTGCCGTGGGACGGCACCAAACATCTGGCTCGGGACAGATCATTGCAGAAACACACGCTCAAATGGCAAGCAAAAAAGCAAATGGAATGGTGTGTTGTGGAGGTACCTGACAATGCCCGGCCAATCCCTCAAGAAAAGCTGCTGATGGCACTCCAGGGACAAGATCTTAACGAAACTACAACCTTCAAAAAGGGATATTTCAAGACTTTTGACTTCTCACTGGGAGAGGAAAAGTCAGACAGCCAAAGTGAAGCATTCCTCCTCACGACGGCCAAGCCACCACCAACTCGGCATGATGCCTCCGTCAAGAGCCTCTGCACCGTTTCATGGAATGAGCCAATATCCATCAACAACCTTCCTATCGAGATAAACCAAGAGGAAACTCTCTATCATATCCTCAGATATCAGATCGAGATGACATGCGCTGGAGGCATCGCCGAGTTTGCAGTCATCTACCAGGGGAAGCGCGTCGCCAGCCATAGCGTGCAAGTTGAGTACCACTGAATGGCTTTGACGCGGCATCCGCGTGCATGGAGCGCGCACATGAGGTTCACTGATGAACCAAACTCTGGGAGCGAGGAGGCAGTACCGGGGTAGAACGTTGCTAGTGTCGGCGAGACTTCTGCGATTGTCGGCAGGATTTCGCACCCTTCCAGGACACAAAACGGCGTCTGGCCCAGGTAGCAGAGTAATAGAGATCATTCTCGTCTAAAGGTCCGCCCACTGTCGTGATCATCATAGTCATTACCATTCAGGCATTCTCAGCCTTGACGTCTTCCTGCCGTATGGGCAACTCCCCTAGCAGCTTTTCAGAGCCGGCCTTGCTTGCGTCCACCACCCCGTTGGTGCCGTTACTGTTCCCTCTATGGCGGTACACCCGCACGGTATTGTCCTGGCCAGCGCTCACCATCGTTTCGCCGTGCACGTCCACCCAGAAACAAATGCCCTTGTGGCCCGGCACACGCTGTAGTATATCCTTGCTCTTGACGTCCCATAGGACAATGTCGCCGTCCTCGCTGGCCGACGCAATGAAGGGCTCACCGTCGAGCACGGCGAAGCAGCCGCCGATGGCAAACTTCTCGTTGCGATGGCCCTGGTACGTCTTCTTGACGGTGCCCGCCACGTAGTCCCATAGGCGTATACAGTTGTCCAGGTTAAAGGCCAAGACGAAGCGGCCATTGGGAGAGAAGCAGACATTCGTTACGGCGGGATTATCCTCGTGGACAAGGGTACGCAAGCACTGGCCTGTAGATGTGTCCCAAACTCGGCTGTAGTTCGTTAATATCGGGACGCACGGCAATTTTGCAGATCGAGAACATACATCAAACCATCCGTTGAGCAACTGACGACCAGTGTCCCGTCGCGACAAAAGTCGATGCCGCTCACAGGGTCGCTATGAGCAGGCAAGCTCCTCATAAGTCGCCCGGCCCGCACATCCCAGAGAAACACTGCTTCGTCATAAGATCCACTGGCCAGAATGTTGCCCTTTGGTGAGAACGCAAGGCAGTGAATATAGTTGTGGTGGCCTCGCAGGGCGGCAATCTCCTGGCCTGCCCTCGACTTGCGCGTCGTCGTTTTGGGCCGGCCGGTTACGCGATCCCACAGCCGAATGGCCTTGTCGTCGGAGCCGCTGGCAAGAGTATTGCTATCGGGAGTCCAAGCGAGGCAGCTGACTCCCGCCATGTGTCCAACAAGAGTGTCCATGTGCGCGCCGGTCGCGGCATCCCAGATCTTGAGCGTCGCGTCTGCCGACGCCGAGGCAATGAACCGGCCATTGGGCGATATCCGCACTTGGGAGACAGGCTTCGTGTGGCCATGTAGGACGAGTCTAGGCCGGTAGTCTGGCCGGAGAGGTTCGTGCGGAGGGGTAGGCGCTTGTCGCGGCCTCGGAGAGTAGGATTCGGAGCGGGTGCGGTCTGAGGTGCTCGGAGAGGGAGAGCGGCGGCGGGAATGGGATCTGGTGCGCGACTGCGGCGCGGATTCTGAGCGCGTCCGAGAGCTGGAGCTGGACCGCGACCTAGAGCGCCGCCGCGAACGGGAGCGGGAGGGTGACGGCGACCGCGAGGGGCGTTGACGCGACGAGGGATACTCGTTGCCGTTGGTTGCTTCGTTGTCCGTCGAGCTTCGTCTGCGGATTATGGGGTGGCCGCGTCTCGGCGCGTCGCCATCCGGCGAGCCCGAACGCCGCGAGGTGTCATCGTCTGCCCTCCTGCGCTTGAGGGGAGGCGTCGCAGCCGCCCGCTCGTCACGGCTGTCGATGTCCATGACTGGATTAGGGTCGTTGAACCACGAGGCTGAGAGAGGAGCGAGGGATGGAGGTTCGCGCGAGGCTGCTGGGTAGAATTATTATGGGTCCCGTAGCGACGCGCCATTGGCTGGGGGCGCAAAGGGGTGTTAATGTCCAACCGCTGAAGTTGAGTTGACACAAATTGGCAGGAAATGTCCGTGACGCGCTTTCCAGAATTCAAGCAGGTCAACTTGGGTGGGGCTGACCACTGTGGCGCAAGCTGCGGCTGGCAGCTGCCACTCATTCGTGGAAGGTGTCGAGCTCAATCTACAGAAACAGCACAGGCTCGACAGCGGGCGGCCAATGGCTGCTCCGGCGCAGAGTGTCGCGAGACAATGCAGCGCCGCTGCATCTTGGGCTGGGACTCGGATATCGACAGGCGGCGTATCAAGACGCTTCACTTGCACCACAGCACTTCAGCCGGCCCTCGTGGTCATGGCTCGCCGGTCGTCTCTCAGCCCCGGCACATGAGCTCGGACAACTGCCGTGGCTGCAGCGCGGCGCTGTTGTCCATGCACGTCTGCCCAGCTTTGGAGGGCAATGCGCCAAGTCGAGCACGCTTACGCGCGCAAAGTCAATAGTCGAAGCCATCGCGGCGCACCCGCCTCGGGTGTGGCATCTGCCGCGAGGCTGGCTATGTATACTAGGCCGCCGGGAGCTGAGGAGATGTTGACCCTTGTGGGCAACCACGTTGCCTTGCCTTGTGATGTCTTAGATCATGCCGTCGACGGATCAGACCTTCGAATCCAAGGGTGACACGATCCTAGATCCTTGCGGGAATGTGCTCTCGCATGGAGGAAAAACCAACACGCCGTGTCACTGACAAGTCGACCAAGCTCCACAAGATCCAGGGTGGGTTATGAGTCGAGATTGGCTTTGCTCCGACCATTGCCAATGAATCCTGGCAACGGCATCCTTGCTCGGAAGCACGAAGGGTTTGCCTTTGCCAACTGCGTGACCGAGGACAGAGCTCGCCATCTACAGGCACGATTACGGATACAAGCATGACTACATAGCAGTATTGCGTGCCCACGTGTTGCCGAACCTCGATCAAACTCTGGGCCTTTGTGCCCCTGCAAGACACGCCTGACAGGGTCCGGGCTCGCCCTGCCGCCGCTGGGCTGCCCGCCGGGGCGGCAGACGGTCCGTTCTCGATGCAGAAAAGACGGGCAGCAAACGGCATGCCCGTGCTGAACGACGTGGGCCCAACTGTGGACATGTTTGCTGTTGGCTCGCAAGCTCGAGCGGCCAAGAGCAAGGGAGCGTTGGGCGGGTGTGGCTAGTAAACCGATGGATGCGATGCTGGCGGGGCGGTCTGGGCCGGATTTGCAGAGGTTCCATTTCCATGGCTTGGTAGGGCTGGTCGCGCGCGTCGTCCTTTGTTACGTCCGCCGTATTGCCTTCAGGCCAGTAGCACCGCAAGAAACGGTTCCAGCGCGAGTGCCCGACGATGACTCGTTTGGCCCCCGTGCTGGAGTTTGCTGCCATTACGGGGGTCGCTAGACCGGGGTGTCGGATCCAAGCGCTGGAGTCACGGGGCGACGGCGGCAGATCGGGACTGTCCACGACGGGACAGGCTGTTGGCATGGTCACATCGTGGCTCCTGGGCTTCATGCGCCGTCCTCGCGCCGTCTCGCACAGAACCGGCGCTCCCGTTCAGTGGACGAGTGGCAAGAGTGGGCGGGCGCAAACAATGGATGGACGGATGGCGCCAAAACGGGGAGCGCAATCTGCCTTGCCCACATCAGGACCACGGGAGAGGGTGGGCGACGATGCTGGCACCGCCCGACGGGTTTCGTGGCTAATCAAGCGCGCGTGCGGCTGATGCCCGGGCTGCGTCGACACTTGCAGATTGCGCTCTTTCTGGAGCGTCTGACGACAGAATGGCGGTTTTCCGTGGCGTCGAGTGACGCTGCACCATTCGCGCGTTCGTGTCGCGGCCCCTGGTTGATGGCTGGCAGCGCTGGGCCCTTTATATTAGCTCTGCTGGGGGGAATGGGGTGTTTATTTTCGGTGCCGCTGGTGGCTGGTGGCATCATGACCAGTACCCAGACACGAAGCAGGAGGGCCCGCCGAAGGGAGTGTTGCAAAAGTGAACCTTTTCCCCTGTGCCTTGCACTCGCCTCTCGAAGAAAATTCCCCTGTGAGATCCAGGGATTGTGCTGTTCGGGCACTGCGCGATCTGGTTTAGTCGGGGTGGGAGGGTCGCGCCATGGATGCAGGTGGTGTCGGCGGCCAACTTCCAGGGCACTGGCTGCCGCAGTCAAGCCTGATGCATTCACCCATTGAGCCCGTCCGGGCAGACTCCAGACCAGGCCCCGAGTCAGCCGCCGGCAATGGCCACGGCCACCCAGCAGCAAGCAGCCAGCAGCACAGCACCGCGCCGCGCCTGCTGCGGGCTGGGCCTTTTGGGCTGGGCCGGGCTGGAGAGCTGGGATGCTGGGCTGGCTAAAGGAAAGGAAGCTGGCGCGGTGCGGGACCTCGCATCCTGCACTAATTGGCCGTCGCAGCGCCAGAGGAAGGCTCGGCCGGGCGCATCCAGCCCATCACCAATCGCGGGCCCCCATTCCTGCAGAAGCAATTTGCTTTTCCCCTGGCGGGACCCCACACGGCCACGCTCTCGATCCCGTCATCAGCAGGCACACATCCCAGAATGGCAAGCTAGGCCCCGGCGCTGCAGGACCACGCCTGCCTGTGACTGGCTTGAGTGCACTCTGGGAAGGAGCAGGGGCCAAATGCCATCGGTACGTACCTGCTCCGCCCACCTGCTCGCACGACGCCGCCGACACCCGCGCCGCAGCACTTGTCTCCACTTCCCACTTCGACGATGGGCAAGCGCGTTCGTCCAGATGGCAGCATGCCTGCCCTGGCCCGCCCAGTTTCCCAGTGCCCGAGTGCCCGGCGGTGGATGGATGGATGCTGGGGACGTGGGAGACGGGATGGAGATGGGGGGTGGGCTTACGGGCAGGGACTGAAGGCAAGGCAGGCAGGCAGGCTTGGCTCGGTCCTTCCCCTCTCGTCGACGGTACTTCTTCCGCCAGACCACCACCTCGAGCCGTGCGGCTCTTTTCTCTCTTTCCTCCCCTTCCCTCCCACCCATCCAGACAGACTCTCTTGTGTCGTTCATTCTTTAAACAAAGGCTCCTCGCCGACCACACTCTTTTGTACAACGCCCAAGTCACTCTTTACCTGTCACCAACTTACAGTTCAAGCCGCTACTCACCAGCAGCATACCTTTCACAGTCACGATGCGCTTCACTCTTACTGCTCTCGTGGCCCTGGCCGCCACTGCCTTCGCGCAGAACCCGGACTTCAACCCCGTCACCAAGCCCCTCAAGGACGAGGTTCTCACCGCCGGCTCGACCTACACCATCGAGTGGCAGCCCCCGGTTCGCACTGCCGCCAAGTACGCCGACGCCATCGTCAACATTCGTCTCATCGGCGGCGCTACTCAGGAGACTCAGGTGCCCCTCGACACCATCGCCAGTCAGTTCTATCAATCCCCTATGCTGCAAGTGTTTGAAACGTGCGACTGACCTTTTCGCAGCTGGTGTCAAGAACTCGGCTCTCCGTTATGAGTGGAAGATCAGCTCTGCTCTCGGTGACAAGGCTGTGTACGGCCTTGTCATCGAGGTTGCCAGCGACACCACGGTGTTCCAGTACTCCAACCGGTTCCACATCAAGGGCAATGGCAAGACGACCGGCAGCGCCACTGGCAGCGCAACTGGCACCGCTTCCGCCACCCTGACCACGTCGCACGGCACCAAGACGATCACGCTGTCCTCGAGCCCTGTGCCCACGTCGACCACGACCACGCACGCTCAGCACAACACCACCACGTCTACCACTATCCGCAAGACCACCAGCTCGGTGCCCAGCAACTCGACGACTCTCACCACCAAGGCTGCCAGCTCGACTGGCCCCGTTGTCATCACCAGCACCGCCATCGTCAACCCGTCCAAGACGACGGGCGCCACGGTTGTCCCCACTGCCGGTGCCTCGCTGGTTGGCGCTGGCTCCCTCAGCGTCGTTGCTGGTGTCTTCGTCGCCCTTATGGCCATGTAAGGTTCTCTTTTGGTCAGATGTTGGGCAGGTTTTTGCTCTGATTTACTCTTCACGACGGAATAATCTTCAGCGCGTTTGGGAGCCTGGCTCTGGGGCGCTCCGGTGAAGGGCCGCCTCGAGGCATTGCCCAAGTCATCGCACACGGTTTGCTCAGGGGAATGGGTTGGAAAAGGCTCCGGATTGTACTACTAGACTTGATGTTGGACAGGCGCGCTGCCATCCTTCCCGTAACCCGGGCTCTCCTTGCGACGCCGACACTGCAGTGCGGCGTCACCAGTAATAGAGGGCCACGGCCCATGCTACTTGAGTGACGAATACAGCTCTCACGTTATCACGAAGACAATATCGGGTTGGCCCTTTGGTGAGGAGTACGTTTGGTGTTTATTTTGAGGGCTTGCTGTTCGGTATGAAACATGGGACATCGATGCGCGTTGGAATGTGAGACAGGGCGGGGCCAAGTCGAGACCTCGACATCTCAGCCATCATGTAAGACGAGAATGTCGCGCAGCCGGACCTTTGGCGTGGCGCATCCACGACGGCGGGACCGGAAGCTACGGTGAATTCTCCGCGGATTGCCACCCGCCGTGTCCGGCTCGTGTCGAGTGGTGTCGCGACGTCACGACACGAGGGTTCGCCACGGCCAAGTCGAGGGAGCGGCCATGACTATACGCGCCGGCAAGACTGAGCGAGCCGTAGCCTCGTGGCGGCAGGAACGAAAAAAGGTACACTTGGCTTGGCGCTGTCGATGTCGGCCCGGGAAGACGTTGTCTCGGATGACGTCGAGGGGTAGGTCTCACTCGCAAACTGCCAGGGGTGGCTTGTGCGTCTGCTCCAAAAAGTGAGATCTTCACGGCCCACGGTGGAGAGACAGGGAGGGGGCTGATGGGGGATCGGCACTGCGCACGCCCCCTGGTTACTGCGACACTGGGCCTTGCAACTGAATCGAAAAAGAAAAGCGATCGTGGAAGCAGGGGGTTGTTGAAGGTTTTCTTGGTGTTGTGGCTTGAGTTGCCTAGCGAAGGTGTAAGACGCATCACGAGAGAGTCATGCTTGAGGATAGTTTTGATCAACTTTTGGATATCAATTAGGAAATAGGTTGTGTAGGTCTCTCGTCTAAGGGTCATAATCTTCAACGCCAAACGCCCGCCTGCCAATCAGTATGCCTCCCTGTATTGCCGCAATGGACAGACTTGAAACAAAGACACAAAACGTCGCTCCCGAGATCCTTAAAACGCGAGTTCCTCTCAACACCGTTCCGTTTCGTTCGTTTCACCTCACTGCCCGCCGATCTGGCCCTTGGGCCGCGGCGGGATCCAGCACACCGCCAGGTTCAGCGCAATGGTGACGACGCCAATGATCCACAGGCCCTTGTCGTAGCCCTTGCCGCTGTCCATGAAGCGGAAGATGATGGCGAAGACGACGCCGCCGAGGTTGCCTCCCGCGCCGGTGACGCCCGACAGGATGCCGTTGGCGGACGGGTGCACGTGCGGCACGAGGGCAAAGTTGGCGCCGTTGCCGGCCTCGAGGAAGATTGCGGCGACGGTCACGATGCCGACCATGACGCCGATGTTGAGCCCGTTCTTCTCCGACGGGTTGACGCGCCCGACGACGATGAGCAGCGCGCCGGTGAGCAGGCCGCAGGTCGTGATCCAGCCCTTCTTCATCCACAGGTTGCGCCCGAAGCGGTTGTAGAGCAGGTCGGCGATGACGCCGCCCATGGGCCGCGTGACGAAGTTGAGGAACCCGAAGATGGCGGCGTAGTTGCTGGCCTTGGTCTGGTCCAGGTGCGGGAAGTTGGCCTTGTAGTAGGAGCTGAGGACCGAGTTGATGGCCAGCTCGCCGCCAAAGGAGCACGAGTAGGTGGCGACGAAGAAGAGCGTCTGCAGCGAGAAGATGACGCCGAGGGCGTCCTTGAACGTGGGCTTGGCCACCGTCTCGCCGCGGGCGGCCTCAAGGGCCTGCGCGGCCGACATCTTGCGCTTCTCGAGGTCGTCGTCCGACGACTCGGCCTTTTCCTCGTCCGAGGGGCGTTCAGAGAGGGAGCCAGAGCCAGAGGCGGAAGGGGTCATGACGCCGACGTCGTTGAGCCCGAGAGCCTGCAGGTTCTTCTCCAGGCTCTCGTGCCGATCGTTCCAGTTACCGACGGGAGTGTCGGGGCAGAGCAGGAACATGCCGGTGCCGCAGGCGATGAGACAGATGAGGGGCACGACGAAGGTGACGCGCCAGGCCTCGTGCGGGCTCATGCCCTGGCTGGCGACGAGCGAGTCGAAGACGGCCGGCATGATGAAGTAGGTGATGCCGCCGCCGGCGTTGCCCCAGCCGCCAGCCAGGGCGTTGGCCGTGCCGACGACGTTCTTGTCGAACCAGGCGGTGCACAGCACCTGGCAGGGCACAAAGGTGGCGCCCAGGACGCCGATGAAGAACCGGGAGACGTACAGGCCGGCCGCGGACTTGACGAGGGGCGCGAGACCGATGGGCAGGCAGCCGATGAGCAGAAGCGAGGCAAAGACCTTGCGAGCGCCAAACATGTCGCAGAGAGGGCCGGCGACGAAGCGGAGGAGCAGCGTCGCGCAGAGGGAGATGATGTTGGAGTTGGCGACTTCGGTCGGGCTGAGGTGAAGGTCCTGTTTGATGGTGACCGTCAACAGCGGAGGGAACGTGTACCTGTGATGCATCTTGTCAGCCACAACGCTATTCGAAGGCTGCTTAACTCAGGGGGTCAGGGGTAGGAAAACTCACCAAGCCCAGAAGCCGAGCATGAAGCCCATCCACGAGAAGAAAAAGACTCGTCCATAGACGTTGACGGGGTTGAGCACCGGTATGCTGCGGGCCTTTTTGGTGATGGAGTTGACCTCGGGGGCCTTCCACAGCACGGATATGTCGAACGCCATGGCTGTGAAGGGAAGTGTATAAGAAGATATCGCGGGGCTTCGGCGATGCTAGTGCGAATGGACAGCTGAGTGTTGTTTGTTGTCTTGAATCTGCCGGCTCAAAGAGTCGATGGAGAGAGGGAGAGCAGCTATATGTTTGTGTGTCTTTGGAGCGTGTCGACCGATGCAACATTCTTTTGGACATGTCTCAGCAGGCCGTTTATATCTTCTACCCTCGAGGCCTGCCTTCATCGCACGCGGTCAGTAGAGGCGAAACATGCATCTCCGGAGAGCAAGTTCATATCAGACGCCTTGGCCAACCGCAGCCCCAGCTGGGAGTACGTAGATGCCCGAGGGCCACATATCTGGGGGCGGGCCTTCGGGACTAGCAACAGAGGAGGTGAGATGCACGCTCTGTCCTCCCCCCTGGGGTGGTGCCTGGGCATCACAAGCTGGCGCGGACGGCAGTATTCCGGGTGCGTCCGGAGCGATAATAACGGGCGGGCGAGCCCAGAGGGTCGAAGTGTGAGCCTGAGTAAGACAAGCTGTGAGGGAGCGCCACCCGCCGTGTTGACCTGCCACGGGCTGCTGGGAGACTAAAGATAGGCCCGAGGCGCAATCGCATATCAGTGATAACGGCGTCGTGGAGATAGAGAGACTGCTTGTAGATCGCTGCCTTGGGTGGCGGCGCGAGGAGTCGCAGGACTTGAGCGGGCTCTGATACTTTTATTGTACTTTGCCCCGGAGAAGCACTTTCGCCTGGATGATGAGGGAGCAATGTCTACAGGAACTACGACGATGCGTCCGCTTCGCCCATGATTCGGAGCCGGTGAACGCGCTACGGTGGTCTTGATGCTCACACAGCATCTCATGTCGATACTGTGCGGTGAGTGGCAATCTCGAGATACAGTACAGTGTGATACAGTACGGCTCAGGCCAGCGTCACCGAGAGGGAAATGCCTCTTCACGCAGCCCAGCAAGGTCTGGTGGATGTTGAGCGGGTGGATGTTGAGTGACTCGCGGGGAGCGAATGAAGGCTGAGGGAATTGACCAGCGCAGCCCCATTGGGCAGACGCCGATGTCTGAGACGTCTCTGGCACTCTTGATAAAAAAACACCAGCCATGATGGGCCGGAGGAGGGAGGACGTCCCTTATCAGGGCATGGGGGGGCGCGGATGCGG